AGCTCTGCACGCTCACAGGGAAGAATGTTGCCTGTTTCTTCCCCATGCCCACCTCTCCATGCTCTGTGATAGAGTCAGACCCAGTGATCAGAGAGGGTGTGTGTGTGTGTGTGTGTGTGTGTGTGTGTCTTGATTCTCAAATGGGTTGTATTGACTCGTGACATGAAGCTTGACTGGCCTTGCGCTACCCAGATCCCATCCCCAGAACTTACCCTTTCTTCATTATGTGTGCCATTGTCCTGGGGTTGCTCACCAGGATGTCCTACGTTATTCTGGCTAGCCAGCTGGGGTTGGGTGTGACCTGATGCCAGGGCTTTTGGTTCACAGCCTACCACAGATAATTCATCACTGAGTGGTTACCACCGCTGATAGAGGAAGCACCCGACCCAGGCTGCTTCAGCATGTACTGAATTCACCTTCCAGACTCCCCTCGTTTTTCTCAGCTGCCGGAAATCTTTCTGATGAACTTAACTCGAGGCAGCATTTAGGACTTGCAGCCCGCGTTTCCTGGTGATGCAGACAGAAGCTCAGGCAGACAGTGGGACGATATTTCTCAAGGCCTTCCTCCAAGCACCACGGTGCAGAGCACGCTTTCTAAACACTGCCTGTGCTGGTCCTCATGTGTGTGTGTGGGAATCCTGGGACTGCTGAGAGGCAGGGGAGAGACAGACACCTACCCTCAGCCACTCCATGCTCTTTGTTCTTGTGTGAGAAACTCCTAACTGCTAATTCAATTGGCTCCCAGAAGGCTTTGCTCTAGTAGCCTCTCATTTTCCTTCCGTATTAAATTGAGAAATGGCCCAGGCCGTCTTTTCTGATTGAAGTTCAGCCCATTGTTAAAAGGCAATAAATCAGAGCTTTTCTTAACAGAATGTTGGGCTTGGCGTTTTCAACTCCCCTCCTTTCAGCTTAAGTTGGGTTAGCGTTGCATCTTTTAGAAATCAAACCACAAATTAGCCAATGACAAACTTGTATTTGGTAGATGAATGGCTGCTGGAGATTCCAAACAGTCTTACTTACATGGGGAAGCCAAGGGTTGATGGTGAAATGCACTCCTACAGTGTAGATGGAAATGGTAGAGATGAGGTGTGATGCTATGTCCACCTGGCTCCTCGGCCTCAGTTCCCTTCAATTTAACCTAATAGCTAAGAGTCTATTATCTTCACATGGGGTGGGTTTTCGCCTGGTTTAGGCGGTGCAGGAACTTGTAAGATGGGTACTATGGTCCAGCACTGCCCCCTGGTGGACACTCATGCTCTGACGCACAGGGTGCTGGCAGACAGATGGGTGCTTTCAGGATGGTTAGCTATGGGCATGTTGGAGACTATTCTGGTGGCCTGGCCTCTGGGTTTGGGAGAAGTGGTCATTTTAGCCTGCTGAGACACTTTAGCTGATGTCGCTCTTGCTCACTCGTGGGACATGTGCTCATTATTAATTCACTTACTGCTGTCTACAGAGACGTTTTCCTGGCTGAAATGATGAAGAATGGGCACAGCTCTTGCTCTAGCCTCAGAGGATCCTTAGACCCGTAGATAGATGGTCACTATGTAAAGAGATTGGACACCGCTAGCCAATCCTGGAGCAGGAGTGGTGCTGTAGTTTGGAGGTAGAATGTCCCACAAAGACCCATGTGGAAAGGCTTGGTCCCCAGTCCAGGGCACTGTTGACCAATCAGGGCTAATCCTGACACCAGGTACACTCAGGCTTTTCCCTGGCCATGGTGTCTATAAGGTGACCAGGGTGGCACCCAAGGAGAGCTAGTTTAGAGGGTGGGACCTCCTGGTAGGAGTGAGCAGGTGGAACTGCCAGCAGGTAGGGAAGTCTACGGATTCTAGGCCATCCTTAGCTAACCCTCACGCTCCCCAGTTATTCATGAACACTGTGTGGGCTGAACTCACTCAGGGCAGGTGGATCATGGGTATCAGGAGAGTTGGGGAGTCCACACAGCATGGAGGAGCATTCTAAGAGCAGGACCCCAACAGAGACAGCACTCAGTGTTCACAGGGAAGGACAGAGTAAGAATTGGCCAAGTGTGGGTGTTGGGCCTGAAGACCATGATGCTCATCTCATAGCTCCTGGATCTCAGTGGCCTGGGGGTGGGCTAGCTGGTACAAGGTTTGGACAGGAAGCAAAAGGGAGAGCCCCCCCCCCCCATGCAGGTAGAAAGGAATCGGGCTTCACTTTATCAGTCTGGCCCCTGGGATACAGGTCAGGCCTTCCTTTCTCTCAGGATGGGGTTCCCACCCTGTCTCAGCCCCCAGGAGGCAGCAGGCCGGGTACTAAGAGATAGGAGCGAGGAAATGCTTCTCTGGCCCAGCCTTGTAATTAGACCCTTCAATTGCAATTACTTTTGCAATTAGCTCAGCTGGTAATTGGGAACAGGGAGGTGGTAATTTCTGTCCTTCACGGAAGCTCCCTCTGAATTGGGCTTTACTTATCTGTCTAGGATGCTGGGTAGTGCTCTAGGGAGCACTAAACTCTTGGGAGCAGCTCTGAGAGCACAGCCTTGGCCTTGGCACAGTCGGAAGTATGAAAATTCTCCTGAATCCCAAAACTGGGACCTAGGTCATGGTAAGCAGCAGCTTCATGGGCTTCTCAGCAGAGGGAAAGTCTACTCTTGAGCTTTGTAAAGGCAACATTGCAAACACCTCAATGACCGGAAGTCATAAACCAAGCCAGTGTAGGAAGACAGCTTCTATATTAGCCTATGCTTCTGGCATTTGTGTTCTGGTTTAATCCTCTCTCTGAGTGTAGGGTGGTGTAGTGACTTGCTTTGAATCATTAGAACATGACAAAGTTGTTGTGATATTTGTCCGCAGGGTTTATGTGTTAGAAACTTAATGTCCAAGTTCATGGGTCAATGGTCTTTGGAGGCAGGACATTTGGGAGGCAATAAGGGGTGAGTGAAGTAGGAGGGTGGGCATCCATGGTCCTATTGCAGTTTTCTAAGGAGAGGGAGGCTGAGCTAGGAAGTTCGCTTGCTCTTGCCATGTGATACCGTGTGATGTCCTGTTAGGATGCAGCCAGGGTCCTCACTGTCGGCTAGTGTCCTGCTTCTTAGCTTTCCCAGTCTTTTGTGCATGACCAAACATACTTCTCTTCTTCAGGAATTGCCTACCTGTGCAGCAGTGCATGACTGAGATAAAGGTTATAGAGAAGAAACGAGCTCCCCACCATTTCATTCCACTTGTAGAAACACCTTAAACTTCTGTGTCGCTAGTCAATAGAAATGTGGGGATTTCCCCTTTCCCAGCAAGCAGTCCTGCAAATTCTGCAGCAGGCACGAACAGCTGCCTTTAATTCAGAACTGACATGGCCTTTTTCCGAGGGAGTGGTAGCTGCTGCAAGCTGAGCTCTCAGCCCCGAGACCAACCCCCACTTCAGATGCCAGTCTTGGGCACAGACTGTGGCCTGAGCTCCTGAGATACTGGCTGCAGACTGGATTTTCATGGTCACACCTCTGCGTTTGATGACTTTGTTAATGGGGCTTACATAATTCAGGAAGACATGTTTGCTAGCTTACCTGCTGACGAGCAGCAGACAGAGCGATGGGCAGGACAAGGCGTGAAGGGAGGGACTAGGGGCTTCAGGTGTCCCCTCCACGGCGTCTACACAGATTCTGGGATCTGGAAACCCCAAACCATGTCTTTTTTTTTTGGAGAGTTCATTACTCAAACATGATTGCATGCGTCATGAACCATCAATGAAAAGAATTTAACCTTCAGTCTCTTTCCCTTCCTCGCCAGAGGTTGGGGGAAGGGACTCAAAGTCATGGCTCGGTCTTTTTAGCGACTAGTACCCATCCTGAAGTCATGCCATGGCCTCTAGATACCAATCATTTATTGGCATACAAAAGCTATCCTTATTAATCCCCCAAAGCCACGGATTTTAGGTGCTCTGTGTCAGGAAACAGATGAAAGTTAAATGCAGACTTCACCACGACACGGTCTTGTCTCTTGGTAGCTTACAGTCAGGGTTCTCCTGTGGAGCAGGAATCTCCATAGGATGAAAATGCAGTACAAAGGGGCTCAGTTGATTGACTCCCACAATACAGCCGGAACAGGTTCACAAAGGCTGTCGATACTCTGTAGAAGCTGGGAACATGACAGGAGCTTACCCCCTAAGGCTGGATGCCTCAGCATTGCCAATCTGGCACCAAAGGCCTGAAGGATCCTGGAGAACTACTGGTATTTCAGGTTGTGTTGGAAGCCCAAAGAAATTTAATTCTGAAGACAGCAAAGAACAATAGCAGCTGCAGCAGCCATGGCGGTGGTGGCGGCAGCGGTGGCAACAGCAGCAACAGCAGCAACAGCAGCGCAGATGAACTCAACCAGCAAGACACAAAGACAGGCAGGCACAGAACAACAATTTTTTTTTTTAAAAAAATTCACATTTAAAGTGGGTCTTCTCATTTCAATAACGTCAACAAACCTAGCCAAGGCTCCCTCATAGGGGTGCTCAGAGGACTGACTCATAGTGGTTCTGGATCTTGTCAGGCGACAGTCAACAGTCACCATCAACAGTTTCTAAGTTTGGAGCCTTCATTCTTTCTAGTCATCTCTTCACGATCGCTTTGCTTTCCCCTCTGGTAAAGCAAGCTGCCATGTGGAGGAATCTTTGCCAAGGAAACAAGAATGGTCCCTGAGTGAGAGTCACTGAGGTGCAGAATCCCTCAGCCATAGCCTTTGAGAAAGCGACCAACAACCATTGACTGAGCTTGGTAGCCAAGCAACCCCGCCCTCACGCTGGGAGATGGGACTATAGCCCCAGAGGTGAGGTTGACTATAGCCTCCCCTCCGAGAAATCGGGGCACAGAAGCCACCTGAGCAGGTGCAAGACTATTGACCACGTGTGTTGTTTCAAGAATCTACACTTTCAGCGACGAATCTGTTGTTTAGACAGCACTGTAGAACTGGCATACAAATAATTGAATGTGTTCTATTCTCCGACCTCACAAACATACAGCTGTACTTCAACATCATGGAAGTTTAGTTCTAGAATCTCCCTATACAAAAATGCAAATTACCTAGGCAAAATGGTGTCGTGTTTGCATATAATCTCTTTAATCCTTCCATATACTTTAAGTCGCCTTTATGTAATTTATAATTTGCTATCCAATGTAGGTGTATGCAAATAACTGTCACACTGTCTTACTTAGGGAATAGTGTTGATAAAAATGTTTGTATGTTTTCAGTATGCAAATTATACTTTTTTTCAGATATGTTTTTCAAATGTGTTTAATCATTGGTTGGTGGAATCCATGGATGCAGAATCTAAAGATAGGGGATCCCCATTGTACTGTCAAAACTAACCTGGAAATTCAGGTTTTCGTTTAATATCATTGGACTTCTTGAGGTTCTGCACCAGAACATAGAAGATGAGGGCAGTTGTACTATGCATGGCATGAGGCTATCTCCTGTCTCCTCCTATCTTGGCTCCATCCAATATATCTCAGGTTTTGCACACTTTTAAGAGTGAAAACTTTTGCATGTCCCTTGGGTCTAACCACGTGCACATCATCAGTATGGCTCACCCTTGAACTGGGTCTGGGGAAAAGGCCCGGACAGCCTCAGACTTGGGTTTTAGTACTGTTCTAGTCTGAATCTTGAATTCAGAGGCTCTAGTTTTGAAAGCTTGGTTCTCAGGCAATGTCACTGGGAAGTGATGACAACTTGGTTCCTAGGTGATGTCACTGCAAAGTAATGAGAACTTACAGAGATAGAGATTGGTTAGAGGATGTCAAGTCATTAGGAGCAATTGGTGAAGGAAAGATTGGGGCATTGACTGACTGTTCCCTTTTGCTTCCTGGCCACGAAGCGATTGGTTTGGCTTTGTCAAGAATTGGTTATGATGCAATGGGGCCAACCAGTCATGAACTTGGGTCTCCAAAATTGTGAGCCTAAACAAATCTTTCTCTTAGTGAATTGATTATCTCAGATATTTTGTTATCAGAATATCATGGTAACTAGTAAATACCATTTGGTTTAGGAAATCTTACGCCTCATTTCCTGCAAGTGTGGTTTACAAAGGGGTAAAGCGAACACATCCTCTGAATGCCAAGGACATTTGACCAATGAGGAGAAGCTGGAGGCAAGGATGAAAAGCAGAATCCTTCTTACTTGGGTCTGAGGATGGTCATGGAGGGCCCTTTGTTCTAAGCATTAGAGTCAGGAATAAGATACCCCCAGTGACATACCAGACAAAAACATACCATACAAAACAGCCTCAGAGAGACTGTTGGTATTGTGACAGATACCCAAGAGACATAGTCTTAAGGATAAAGGGTTAATATTGGCTCATGGTTTTCAGACTAAAGTCAGCTAGATCCATGGCTTTGGGTCAGGAGTCAGAGAAGAGGATTATGGCAATGGAGTGGGTGGGAAGATGCTGTTGACTTCATAGCAGCCAGGGATCAGAGGGGGTGATCACACTCGATCATATTCACCTCTCGCCCCTCCAGTTCTCCCTGGACCACCCTCGTATCTCTTTTCCCAACTTCTTTTTTTCCCCCCTGTAACCCACTGAGTCCCATTAGTGTCCATACAGTCATGGGTGTGGGGCCATCCACTAGAGCAATCGACTAGGATTCACACTCCGCAGACAAGTGGGCCTCCTTCTGGTGCCCATAAACTGTCGATAGCTACTTAAGGGGCTCTTGTGCTCCTCCACCATCCTATCTGAAATGTTGACAGTCTTGATCTTAGCCCTAACTGCGGCTAAGTTAGTGAGTACACTGGTCCCGGCCGCCCCCAGGGATAAACCGAATGGGGGGGGGGGGGTTAAGTGGAGAGGGAAATGGGAGGGGAGAGAAGAGGAGGAAGTGTGGAGAGAGATAATTAACATTAAAGATATTCAGAAAAGTCATTAGAAAGCATACTATTTTATATATTTTATATATACATATGTGACCATATTTTACACAGAGGATAACACTCCTCACAGAAGATTTAGGTGCCAAATAAAAAGTCCAGTGTTAGGTATGAGATACCTCCCTTCAGGTGTGGGATACCTCCCCTCCAGGTGTGGGACACCTCCCCTCCAGCTGTGGGAAACCCCCCTCCAGCTGTGGGACACCTCCCCTCCAGGTGTGGGATACCTCCCCTCCAGTTTTTGTTGATAGAGGAGGTCATAGAGACTCCTAAAATAATACAGGTTATTGCCATTTTCTCTACGTTGCTCACAAGCACTTCACGGTAGGAGCCTGTTGCTGCAGATGCTACACACTTTGATCACAAGACTTGAAGAAATCAAGCTGGAAATGATCTGGAAGCTTCTTCCCCAGTGTGTTGCTTTCATAGCACTGACTGTGCTTTGCTGGATGCTGGAAGAGAAAAGTCGCATGGCTCATCCAGGTGTGAACCCTCAAGCTCCTGTAATGACAAGACAAGATACACCCATGGGTGCAATAGTGGCTTGAATGTTACATGAGCAACCAACTGTCTTGTTTGCATTTCAGGACATCTTCATCGGGTGAAACTCATGTCTGGTCTGTAAATCTGGCCAAGAACTCTGATTAGGGAGCGGATACACCCTAGGGGTGAACCTACTATTACTATTTTGCCAAATGGACATAGCATGAAATACATAGAATGGACTGCCTTCTAAATACGTATCTCAGCCCTCATAGATTAGTGCAGCTTTCAGACTTCATCAGAGACGCCTTCTCTGTACAGTGGACTGTGGTTAACACAGAGGCGCCCAACTGGTCAAAGTACAGGGAACAACTGCCTGTGGAAGTCCCAGGACACAGCTCTTGACTTCTCAGTTGGTGAGGAAGATGAGCCTTAAAGGAGAGTCCGTCTTCCCCTAATAGCATGTTCATTCTATCGAACACCATCCAATAATACTTCATCGGTTAGGTATGGGATTTCAGCCGAGAGGGACAATTAATTCAGGTATCATTAAAAGTTCACAGAATGGTTTACAGAGCTGGGCTGGCTGGAAGCTATGACTGCCCTTAAAGGTCCATGCCTGGCTATGACCTTGTACCAGAAAGAGCCATACTTCTATCTAAACCTCCACCTTTGGCACAGAAGGCACAACTGTTCTGAGCCTCAGGTAGAACAATGCCTGCCAGTGTCTGCAGCTCAGGTCACAGGAGACCTGGAGGCCCCGAGACCCAGAGGGCCGTGCAAGTATTAGATATTTGCATCTGATTTGAGCAGGAGGGCTTCACAGGAGAGGATAGGGTTAAAATATGAGAGGGAGCTCGCTAGTTAGGCAGACCTGACTGAAAACTAGCCACAAGATCAGGAAATGAACAGAACAATTGTACACTCGCAGTCTCAACACAACGTGAACATTGCCTTCCTCGCTAACAACATGCCAGCCTTGTTTTCTGATAGTGCTGGCCTGGAGGAAGAAGGCTGGGTGGGCTGAATCTTGAGAAATCCTGGATTTTCTTTCTTTTTTTTAAATTTACTTATTTATTTATAAAAATTTCCACTTCCTCCCCTCCTCCCAATACCCTCCCACTCCCCCCACTCGCTCTCCTCCTCCCTCTCCAGTTCTAAGAGCAGTCAGGGTTTCCTGCCCTGTGGGAAGTTCAAGTTCCTCCCCCCTCCCTCCAGGTCTAGGAAGGTGAACATCCAAACAGACTAGGATCCCAAAAAGCCAATACATGCAGACGAAACAAGACCCAGTGCCATTGTCAATGACTTCTCAGTCAGCCCCCATGTCAGCCAAAAATCCAGGATTTTCAATTCCTCCCATGGTGGGGCGGGTTCACATTCTGTTTAAATTGGGGTAAACATGTAGACAACCTTGAGATTCAGTGCTGTGGCTTTGCCTTCCTAGTCTCCAGCTCAGCACTTCCTCCTGCTACTCTTTCCCTCTGGATCTTAATTTTAGTTTTTCAAGAAAGAACACAAGACGCTGATAGAGAAAGGGCCACAAAATTGCAAAATCAAACTCAATCAATGTTTATATTCAAACGTGCTCTGCAAACACCAATATTTTACCAGCTGGTGATGTTCAACTGAATTCAAAACTGAGGAGGTCATTTCAGACGGGTTAGGAAGCATTATCCTGTGTTGATAAGATTAGTGAGCGCTCCCAAGCCGCCAAGTCCCTGAAGACAGGATCCTTGCCAACTAACTGTCCAGCCCCAGGAGTTTTTAAACCTGGATATGTACTATGTTTAGTGACATGTGAAATTATTATTGACTTTAACGTGATATGATTTTTGAAAGTAAATATTTACTAGCAAAGCTTTACCAGGTAGATGTTGGATGCCTTGCCTGTTTTATCCCGTCTTTGATCTTGGCAATAATAATGGTCAGATGGGGAAATTGAAATGCAGACGGACAGATGACAGGTCTCCAAGGCTTTCTTAGAACCTTGGCTGGAATCAGAACACATTTCTCCGGGTTTTGAGGTGTAGCGAGGTGTGGGATTCTCCTTGGCCGTGACTCCAGTTCTGGGGATTGCATATTTTATCTTGAGCCAATGTGGAAGTCGACTCTGTAAACCGTGATGTTCTGAGCCTGATGGCAGCTGGCCAGTCAGGAGGGTGTGCTCCACTCCTGACCCTGTGGCTCCGAGAGTGCTTTTGGGGTGGTTCTGGTCAAGGACAACAAGCTGGTTATACTTTCTTGTCCTACATCTGCTTTCCGTAGCTGATTAAATTGGCAGCTCTGAATGATCAAAATGAAAATTGGAATGTAAGGAAAAGTAGGGGTTTTAAGAAGTCATGGCCTTGTAGATGTGGAGATGAGAATTTTTCCTCAGGACCTGTTCCTTGCACTTTGGAATGACCCCAGGTACTGACGGGTGAAGGGATTTCTCAGGGCACACACAAAGCCCAGCACAAACTAGGACCTTCAACTCCTAAGTATTTCCTCGTCAGGTCCTCAGAGCCTCTTGTCACCAGGATAGTAGAAGGGGACTATTAGATGCCAGGGCCCACGGGCACAGGAAAGGGGTCACGGGGGATGCCACAGACTGTGGTGACAAATTTGGGGGAGGCAGGGGTGGTACTCATTTTCATCCTAAAGATTTTAGGATATCAGGATAGGGTTGCTGCAGGGTCAGGGTTTGACCTCATCTTAGAAACAGTACTAGAGGGCTGGAGAGATGGCTTCGTGGTTAAGAGCACTGGCTGCTCTTCCAGAGGTCCTGAGTTCAATTCGCAGCAACCACATGATGGCTCACAACCATCTGTAATGAGATCTGGCGCCCTCTTCTGGCATATGGGCGTACATGGAGAAAGAATGTTG